ACTAAGATGGCCCTTACAGCACAGCAATGACAAACCATCTTCTAGGTTTGTCATTGGGTTCTTGGACAAAGAGGAGTGGGGACACCCTGAGAACTAATGATGGACCCAGCTCTACCCTCCTGTTCTGTTGCCCTTCTTTCCCTGCGGACATACACATGAGTGCCCCTTAGGTCTCCAAGTAGCTCTCAGGGTTATTTTACTGAATTCTCACGTGTAGTAGGAAATTTGAATTTCTGGTTGCATGACGCCTTCTTACAGTGAAGGGCCTTTAAGCACCTCTTCAAGTCACTTGAGCAAATCACTTTACTTTCCTAAGCCGGTTTTCCCTCCTGTGGAATAAAGGTGATAGTCGGGCTGACTTCTTACATTACTATGAAGAGTGGAAGAGGCAACACGGCACTGTCGATGGTGTCCTCTCCCTGAAACGGGCTCTGCCCTTGACTTCCAGAACATTTTCCTTTTGGTTCCTTCGCTCACTGGACTTCCTTATCTTCTCCTTTACTGGATCCCTCTCATCTTGCCAGCCCCTAAATGCAGAGCTCTAGTTCCTCATCTGTATTTGTCTCCGATTTGATAATTTCTAGCTGTGTGGTTGAAATGCTACCTTTCAGGGGCCGGCAGGTGGCATGGTGGTTAAAGGCGCTGGACTCCCACGTGACTGACTATGGTTTGAGTCCTGGATCTGGCAGCTTGCTTTCTCTCTCTCTCTTCTCTCTCCCTTTCTGATCAAATTAAAGTAAGTAAATAAACAAATAAAGTTAAATAAAATAATTATTTTTAAAAAAAGAAAAGAAATGCTACCTTTCAGCTGATAATACCGAGGTTGCTCCAGCTAGGGCCTGTCCCTGAATCCCAACTTTATATGTCTAAGTATCCACTGAACATTTCCACCTGATGCGGTTCATTTCAAACACTTGTAAAATAAACTTGATCTAGCTCACCAAAACTGATTTCCAGAGAAAATGGTAATCCTCTTTCTTTCAGTTGATCAAATTCCAAATCTGAACAGCAGCCTTTAAGTCTCCTTTTTGTTTGCACATCCCACACCAGGCTGTCGGGAAAAGCTCTCAGCTCTACCTGCAGTCACACCCCTATCCATCTCACCTCTCCCCTGCAACACCTGGTCCACAGCCTGGACAAGACTAACAGTGGTCACCTGGGTTGTCAATACCTATGCTATTCCCCCTGCCTGGCAGCGAAGGAACGAGGGACCAAGGCAGGGAGAGGCCTCAATACAGGCTGAACTGTAGCCAACCATGGGTGGGGGGTGAGGGTATTAGGGTGCAAATCCTGGCTCTGTCTTCGGTTTATCACTATTGAGTCATTGGCAGTTATATAAAATTTGAGTTTTTAAAATATTTCCACTTAGGACCACAGTGGTGGGCAAGACACAAAAGTAGGATCCTTTAGGAGATTTCGGAGTTCTTTGATTTTAAAAAGGTGAATTCACAGTGCAATTAGGGGATGGTCAGGGGCTGTGAGTATGGCCACGAACAGCCTCCCTCAGGAGGTGGCTTCCCTAAACCAACTGGGGAAAGGTGCTTTTCCCTCCGGGATTCTGTGGGGTGGAAGGTTCTAGTACCTACTCACAGGGACAGATGGGGGGACATCAGGAGGCCCTGGGGAACCAGGGTGACCCCAAGGATTGAAAGGGTCTTCTTCCCCTTCTGAGTCTGGGGCCTCTGTTAGTACTGAGAGCTCTTAAGTGCGGGGGAAGGAACCAGAAGTCATGGCCGACTTTGTGCCTCTCTGGATCAGAACCAAACTTGATTCTATTTAAAGAAAAAAATGTAGAATGTATCATTTTGGAAAAATAAAAAGTTTTTTTTTTTTTTTCATGAGAGAGAAAGAGACAGAGAGGCAGAGAGACAGAGGCACCTCCAAGATCTTCACACTGTGATCTTACCCCCAGCCTCAGCCAGGATCAGGGGTACACATGTGTGCCTGGCATTTACAGAGACACGTAGGGACACAAACCCAGGACCTTCCCATATCTCAGCACTGTGGGGTGTTCATCACCCCTGTGTTACTGCAGCTGGCTGAAATGTAGCATTTCTTAATCCATGAGGGTCCTGTTGAATTTATACCTATAACAACAGTTTTCTGGAAAACACTGGAGCTCTGACTCATGCTTCCTTTTCACTCTGAAATTTGGAATTTTGTTTTGTACCTCCAAAAGCAGACTATACATTTGTCAAAACATCCTTGGTTAAGGCCTCCTAGTCCTGAAGATTTGGGCAGAAACAAGCATCTACCCGATGGCTTCTTATAACGTGGCAACGGCCAGGGGGCGAGGGTGGTTCTTAGTGGACCTGAGGTACTCCCCTCGGAGTCAATGAGCAAGAGAAAAACTGGGGCGACTGCTTTCTTATATCCCGACACCTGCCGCAGGGGATGGAAGGCTGTCTCAGATCAACTTCTGGTTTTGGTTGGCTCTCATGTGTCACTCCCATTTCCCCCCGGAGTTCAGACTTGGACCTCAGGGTCTGATCTCACCTCTCATCGAATCTAGTCAAGATCTACTTCATAGGAACTCTGTGGAGTGATGGTTTTGGCAAGAGCCAAATGGCCATGAAGCACTTTGCCAAATGATTGGTATGTAGTCTGGATATAAACTTGATTAGACACTAGGTCATGCCTCTACTTGAGCTAAAGTACTGAGTTCAAGTCCTGTGTCTCTTACTCACGTGCTCTGTGACCCCTAGCAAGTAACTCGATCTCTTTGTGGTTTAGGCTCCTTCTTTGTGAAATGGGGCTTAGAGTAGTATTCCCCTTACTGGTTCTCATTTACCTTGCTGGATCGAATTGATAAATAAAAAATATATCTGGCCCACAGTAATGGCTCACTAGGTGGTAATCACCGTTATCCGTCTTCACCTGAGTAGGACAGAGGCATTTTTAGAGCGCCAGAATTCAGAGAGTTTGGGAAAGTTATTTTCTCTTTCATTTGCAATAGATTTATTAACTAGAGTAATGTCACCAGACACGTTCTGGACTTGATCATCAAATAAGAACCGACAGAATATCATTCTATTTGTGGAAGATTTCCTCTTCTTTATTAATTCAAATTTATTCACTTTTTAAAAAGTTTCTTTCTTTCTTTTATGAGTGACAGAGACAGAGGGGGGAGCATCTCCAATACGGTCTTCATGCCATGAGCCACCCCAGCTTCAGCCAGCGAGGACCACGGCATGTATGTGCCTGGCAGGCTCGGGGAGATCTCTGGATCAAATCTAGAACCTTCTCCCATGGGCCGGTCTCTCAAACAGTTTCATTACTGCTGTGCCACTCTCTGCTCCCCAGATTTGTTCCTTTTTATGGAGAGTAGATTAAAATAGCTTGTTTTGTCCTCACTAAATGATGACCTTCCTGATCTCAGTGCCTCGCCTACACGAGATGGCAGATTCCAGCCTTCTTGGCTTCTCTGTGCACAGATATAGGCTGAGGTGCAGGGCATGGGCCAGGGCGAGATGCTGGCAAAGTGCTAATGCAATGGTCTGTGAGGCTGACTGCTCGGAAGCGTCAGGTCCGCATGCAGGGAAGGTCAGGTGGGCCTGTAGGGAAGGTCAGGTGGGCATGCAGGGAAGGTCAGGTGGGCATGCAGGGAAGGCCAGGTGGGCATG